GGGTGTGTGTGTGTGTGTGTCTATGTCGTCAGACCGCAGTCGTTGCACAACAGTCGTCATACCTGTCGTGTTCTCTGTCTTCACAGCGATCCACCTGTTCCTCTAACAGCAGGAGAAATGCACTCACACAGGTGACATTATTACCCAACTCTGGTTTCTGAACAGATTAATCAGACGAGTGTTTTATAGATGTTCTTATCTCTATTCTTCAGGATCAGCTGAGGTTCTGCTGTCCCGCTGGATCATGGTAAGCTGGCACGTTTCTCCTTGTTTACACACTTGTGGTCAGAATGGCTCTGTGTTTGAGTGAGAATCCGTCTGAACAGGTCTGTACTTGAGTATTAACGGTGCGGGTGTGACGCTCAGGTAAATCATTAGCGCAGACCGTCGAGCTTTCTCTTTCTTTACACGAGAACTCCAGCATCAGATTCATATGATACGATTCATCTCCAGATACTCTCTACTCTGAAGACCGGCTGTGAGTCTCTCTGCATTTGTTTTAATTATGGACGAGGAGAATGCATGCATGGATTTGATCTAAATATCTTGAATATTATCCTTATGAAATAATAACACTTCCGTTGGAAGCACAAGAGTTTTGCAGGTTTCACTTACGCTTTCAGCTGCAGTTCTTTAGAAAACCATCCACTCTTTGGTGAGAAACGTTGTGGGAACGTTGTTTCTAAAACGGTGAAATGTTCAGGTTCTTGTCATGTTAGAACGTTATTTAAAGGTTGCAAAAAAGCTTTTTTATTTAGTATTTATACTTAGTATTTATCTACTACATTTTTTACCTTAAACATTTATTTTTACTGAACACTAAAATGTATGAATTGTGACTGGAATGTTATTTAAAGGTTGCAAATGTTTCTTTACAACGTTCTACTAACTTTATTTTTTACCTTAAATATAACATTATTTGAATGTTTATTTTAAATATTTTAAGAGCATTAAAATGTCCAGTTTTCTTGTCGTGATTACATTATTTTAAAGCTTATAAAAACGTTTCTATTAACTTTTCACCCAAAATATATAAATGTTTCTTCTAAGAATGTTACAATGTAGCCTATAGTTTTCTTTCATGATTAGAACGTTACTTAAAGGTTACAGCAAACGTTTCCTGAAACGTTCATCAAGAATTTTGAGAATGTTATTAATGCTTTCTCTCAACATTATGAGAACGTACATCAAATATAAAGAATGGTTTTAAGAACATTACCTTAGGAACGTTTTGTCCTAGCTTTTATGTTCTAAAAACTTTTATTTTTTTTTACTTTTAAACATTGTTTTACACGTGTTTTTTGCACTTTTGCAAATGAATCTAAACTAAGCATGCATAATAATGAAAAGAGCATTCAAGAAAGAGTTAACGTTGGATTTGAACAATAGCGGATGTGTGCTAAAATGACGCCAGCTCTGTGCATCATTCTGTTGTGATATGCATGTGTATAAATTCGCTTTGGGAGCTCAGAAACGCGTCTGAAGGGCTCTCTGAATGAGCTCTTGTTCTTTGTGTTGGACTCGGTTCATCTGATCCTCTGAAACCCAATCCAGCTCTGCCTCCTTCTTCTTCACTGCATGCATGCGTCTCTCCGCGCGCGTCCTGCAGCGCACTAATAATTAACGCTCGCGCTCTTGAATGATCTGATCGCTTCTATCGATCTGGAGCGTCTCTGAGCCGCAGGGCTGGATCAGTTCGCCAAAGACGCGCTTCTCTGGGTGTTTCGCTCGCCGAACCGGACCGTGAGTTTCTCTCAAGAGTTCTGATGAATAATGACTGTGTGAGATTCTATAGAATGCCATTTGATAACAACCTAGAAATACTTTAGAATCTTTTGCTCCGTTTTTAATGAAGTGTTTAAGTTCAAATCACCGCGTCTTTGAATGTTCTCTCAGACTTCTGGACTTCTGGACTGAGAGAGAGAGAGAGAGAGAGAGAGAGAACTCTCTGGAACACTTTGTTAAAGTTTATTAGACAAAAAGTCAGACTTTGAATAATGCCTTCAGATGCCATTCCCAAAATACTTGTTTTTTTAATAATGCATAATGTCCTCCTTAAAGGGATAGTTCACAAAAAAAAAAAAATATTAATTTTTATAATTTCTGACCCACTCTGTGAAATCAAGGTTTAAGTCTCAAAATCTAATTACGAGATAACAAGCATCAAAGTTTGATTTCAACCATTAATTTCACTATGATTTCAATGTTTGACATTACTCAGTCAATATTAAAGAGACCAAGGTTACATTTCCACAGAATGTTCTTTACCTTATGAAGGATGATTTTATGTTGGAAACAATCACTAAAAATGCACTGTAAAAAAAATCCGTACAATTTATGGTAAAAACTACGGTAGCAACGTTTTAGGTTTTACGGTTTCACGGTTTTAACTTAAATTTACAGTTAAATACGGTAATTTCATTAGCTGATATAATGTTAATATACCAACCTATTGAAGTACTGAAATCTGTTTTGCACCTTTGTAATACACTGATAACCACCAAATGCAGGAGGTGATGAAAAAGTCACATGTGAACCAAAGCCCATCACAAGCAGCAGATTTTAAATAATAACATATATAGAAGGTGCACAGTGTGATTCACACAAACACTAAACACCATCACAGTAACACACACGAAACTGAAATAATGCAATAAACATTCATTTAACAACATTAGGTGTAACACACAACCCTAATATACAAAACTGATAAGAAAAAAATAAGAAGAAACATAGTTATTTCAACAAAAAAACATCAAATTTGAAATGTAACGCAGGGAATTCTCCGTTAACCATTTAACAGGTTTTTACTGTAGCATTTTTACAGTCTTTTACCGTTAAATTCACGGTCATTTTTTACAGTGTGGCTTTAGATGGGTTTTCACAGCTCAAGTTGTCCCAAAGCTGTATGAGTTTCTTGCTCTGTTGCTCTGATAAAAAGATACTTTGAAGAATGTTGGTAACCAGCCATTGACTGCCATAGTATATTTTCCAAACTATGGAAGTCAGTGGCTACCGTCAGCTGTTTAGCAGAATTGACATTTTTTTCGAAGATTTGTTAAATGTTACAATACCAGAAACTATGTTTAGCATGCTTGTATTCTTGTGGAAATGCTTCTATGTTGCGTTTCTAGATTATGACCAATGTCTTTGTGTTTGGTTTGTCTGTCTTTTACTTTAATGAATAATCTGTAGTCAGTGACCTACAAATAGTGCAGAATATTAGACATTTTTTGTCAGTTTTGCATGATAATCTTCCTTTCTTTTACTTTTTCAAAATGTATAGCTTACTCAGAAATTTCAAGTTAAGAGCAATTAACCAGTGATGGGAAAAACAAACCTATTGCTTCACAAAACGATTCACTGTTTCAAAACACTATGCAACAAAAACTCACAAATGCGATTAACAATTCAACAAATAACATTACATATGAAGTGTCTGTATGTGTTATTTTATTAATTTTACAAACAAATTTATAAAAGTGTTTCAAGATCAGGTAAAAGCTAGTTTAAATAAACCAATTTCTAAACATTCTTAAAAAACAGTTGTGATGTAACGAAGCCTCGTTTACTGAATCAATCAATGATTCGAAACAAACGATTCACAAAGGTTTCGAAGCTTCACGAAGCAGCGCTCATCACTACAATCAGTGTTGGGTAAGTTACTCTAAAAAGTGATTAATTATTAGCTACTAATTACATCTTGAACAGTATAATCAGATTACTGTACTAATTACTCGCTCTAAAAAGTATTGCATCACTAATTTCTTCCTAAATCCAATATCAATATTTACCAGTTAAACAATACAAGGATAGACGTTTGCTCTTTTAATTCTTTTACATAACAAAAATTTAAGTGCATCAATTTTTCTTGGACCAACCAAAGTATTTCAAGCACTATTATTTTATATTCAATTGTTCTGTAGTGCCGTATTTAATGCAGTTACATCAGAATTAACTTATTAAATTAACTTATTAGTACAAAGTAAAAATTCGACAGTTCTGTTCGCTTAAACTTTGAATTTCTTAACCTAAAAATTTCAGTGTAACCCATAAACTCAAAGTTTCTTAGCTTGTTTCATCTGTAGCCAGAATATGACATGTTTTTCCCATGAAAAACTTGCTATTAATTGGCATTAGATAATCATTATTACCATATCAAGACTTGACAGATTTTTTTTGTTGATGTAGCGGTCTCTGTTGAAGTATTCACTGCAAAAAATTATTTTCTTGCTTAGTATTTTTGTCTTGTTTTCTAGTATAAATATCTAAACATTCTTGAATCAAGATGCATTTACTGGATAAGTTAAGACATTAAGTTTTGTTTTCTAAAAAAAGTATCACAATTTTGTTTCTTTTAAGGTTTTTTGCTTCTTTTAAGCAAAAATATCCGCCAATGAGGAAAGAAAAATAATCTTAAATCAAAGGCTAAACAAGATTATTCTTGCCCCATTGACAGATATTTTTGCTTGTTTTAAGCAAAAACTAACGAAATTTTGATAACTTTTTCAGAAAACAAGACATGATATCTTAAAGGAGACATATTATGCCCCTTTTTACAATATGTAATATAAGTCTCTGGTATCCCCAGAATGTGTCTGTGAAGTTTCAGCTCAAAATACTCCACGGATCATTTATTATATCATTTTGAAAATGCCTATTTTGAGCGGAAGCAGAAACACACTCTTTTTCGGGCCTGTGTCTTTAAATGCAAATGAGCTGCTGCTCCCCGCCCCCTTTTCCAGAATAGAGCTTGCTCAAACTTTCTCCATGACATTAGAACTAGTACACTGTTGTCGCTTTCGAAAACACGGCGCCTTGGGTGTAAACTTACAGATTAAGGGGCAGTAATATTATAATGAGATCCCGTTGCCACGTCAGACGCTTGCAGAAAAAGGCTTACCAAAACAAAGTTACTGGGTTAATCTTTTTCACGTTT